CCCTGACCTGGATCGCCCAGGCAAACCGAACCTTGTCAGATCTCGGAAGCTAAGCAGGGCCGGCCCTGGCTAGTATTTGGAAGGGCAACGTCCAAGGAATACCAGGGTCGTGACGCAGAGGCAGGCTATGGTAAGCCACCTCTAAATATCCCTTGCCTCCAAGCCCCACTAGGGGTCACCAGAAGTCAGCCTGACTTGATGGCAAAACAAATAATTTTTTAAAAATAAACCCCATGCCCAGTTTCACTTCAGTTAGGGATTTAAACAGCAGTGACACTGATTGGCTAGCTTCTTGTTAAAATACAGGTCAGGTTACTTTTCAGTGTCTTGTTGTGATTTATCATTTAAGGGTGTTGTTTTTTTTAAAGTAAAGTAAGTGCTTAGTGTATAAAATGCTTGAGCGGAAGACCTAAAGGGAGAAGAGACAAAGCTGTGAGATTTATTTGATTGCTCTTTGTAACAATTGAGTATCTTTTTTCTTAAAGGGGATGGTGTTTTGTCAAATACTTTTAGCTCTGCAATGTCAGCAGGGTCTACAAACATGCTCAAAATCCAGTGCAGTCCAGCCAAAGGTCAGTTGCTTCTTAAAAATCAATGGGTTTCACAATCAGACTGATGTATATTTACTCAGAGGTAAATCCCATTGTGTTCAGTGAGACTTACTTCTGGGTTTGCTGGAATGTCCAAACTCTGCTACTACTTCTACAAGCCTTAAATAAACCTCCCACCACCCCTACAAAATGCATGCCATTTTCACATTTCAAAATCTAGGCAGATGTTGCCTCTAATCCACAGCAAACACCATGAATATTTAGCAGTGTTCAAACATTGTCAGACTATCTTGGTATACATGAATCTGTTTGTCAGAATGATCCACGCGTACTGCTTAATTAGCCATTTCCAGCACCTTTGGAAATGGTTCTTAAAAATACATTGTTTGAAGGGACATGCTGTTGAAAGTTCTCATTATATTTTTGCGACTCATCGCTGTATACAATCAACTCCCTTCGTTCCTTTCTCAACCTCGGCACCCAGTTAGTGGCGACCAGGCCCCCATTTAAAGCAAATGGGACCCACGTCAGTCATGGCTAATTGGTCCTGTTTGTTTTGAGATGAGGTAAATCAGATGTAATTACTGCTGGATTCTGAGGTTAGATAACCAGCCAAATCCTTCACTGTGTACTGTGAGTCAGTTCATACGGGAGGAATGTAATGACAAGGAACCATCTAATTCAAATTAAGCACATTTCGGTCACCTTCAAAGGGGGAACTGAACACAGGCATAACTCTTCCATGGGCATCAGTGGTTCTTAGAGGTGCTTCCTGCCTGGGAAGGGGGATCAGCCAAACTAGCTTAGATCCTCTAATGAAGAGAGGCACTAGAAATGCAGTACGGTTCTCAAAAAACTATAAGCCATTTAACACACACTTCTATTATATTGTTGGATGTAGGGTAGGAAAAACAATCATGCTCTGCGCTACATGTATTATGGTGCGAAACCACTGATAACAAATTTTTGTCGAGAACATTTACCACTTAAAGGTGTGTGCAGTAAAACTGCCGCATCGCTATCTACATATCTGTACTTGTGTGTGGGCAGGGGGTGCTCAGTTGTATTCATACTTTTCTTACAAGCTTACTGCAGTTACTTAATGTATTTCTGTACTTTTCCTTCTCTCCTGGTTTCCTGCTCCTCCCCTTTAATATGTTGGTCCTTCATTCCAAGCACTTTATACTAGCTGTAATGGGATCTATTTTTGCACTGGAATACCCTACATTAACTTTACAAAAATCTAGAGCAGTTTCACAGGGGAGAAAAAAAAAATTAAGTTAAAAAAAAACTTTCAATGGACATTTTCATGAGAAATATCTATATTTGTATTGCTAATAAATATTTGTGATGCGTTCATAGGCATTTGTTTAATTGCCTTGTATCAAGTAAATAAATCTTTTTCTTGGTCTACAAATGATGCAATGTTATGTATTTACTTGTCAGCACTCACATGGATGCCTTGGCTAGTAAACAGTAGAACCATTTATCTCTGGGTCACAAAAGCCCACACAAAACAGTCTTTAAACCCTTAGCCCTAAAACATCCCACTATAGTGAAGGATACAACGCAGGGCGTAACAGGTTTTTAAGCAGGGAGTCTCTCTTGTGTTATTCAAGTTATGCAGCCTCATTTGACACTTAATGTACTTAACAAGAACAAGGCCAAAACAACAGGAGATGGGGAAATATATCTGCATTCACTACAAACACAGAAGTATCAGTGTCCCAGGTTTACAATTACTTGGGCCCCGGTCACACACAGCATTTGCTGCGCTAAAGATACGGATGATAGGTGGATTTTCCGGGCGCGATCATACCACAACATCTGGGAAGCGTAGTGCTCACGTGGCTATCCCATGGCGTCCCGCCGAAGATGCAGACTAAAAAACTAGTACCTACGAGGTACTGGTTTCCAGACACCGCGGGGCAAGGGCGGGCGTCTGATCGCATTTCCGGTGGACGCCCGTGGCATCTGGCGCCCGCCGATGTTCCTTCACAAACAAGGGTTGCTTCCCCCCCCAAAGTCTCTGCAGGATGCGCAAAAGCGCCCAACAGCGCATGCGCACAAACTGTGGTAAAACGAACACCCGTTTGCCATGGGAGCGGCACCTAGCGATTGCTGCTGTGATCGCGCCACGCCGCTTCTTTGCCGCGCTGCTGGATAGCCGTGTGATCGGCACCTCACCCCCTAACCATGGGACCTCGACAGGACGTGTGATCAGACGGCCGCGCATTATTGTGCTCCGGGGCAAACAGCCACGCTCCCCCACCCGCTTTTTCCGGCCCATGTGACCAGGACCCTCGTTTTCTTCCTGAAAAGACTTGTAACTAAACAGTATCTGCTGCTGTGGACCTCTCCTCTTCATCTGTCCATGGGTGAAATGACGACCAGTGGGATTCCCCTTTGTTGACCACACAGGTGAGTTATCCCTGATGTCACTGTCCACTGATGCATCAGATATTGGTTGTATTCTGAGGTCTATTGTCTGCACTCCCGTTTGGTGTAGTGGTTAAGTGTGCAGACTCTAATCCGGGAGAACCGGGTTTGATTCCTCACTCCTTCACTCGCAGCTACTGGATGACCTTGGCCAAGCCATAGTTCTGACACAGCTGGCAGTTTCTGTCGGGAGCTCTCTCAGCCCCGCCTACCTCACAGGGTGTCTGTTGTGGGGAGGGGAAGGGAAAGGAGTTTGTAAGCCGCTCTGAGACTCCAAGTGAAGGGCGGGGTATAAATCCAATCTCCTTCTTCTTCTATTTGTTTTCAGTGCCTGGCTCATTCTCTTGTTGTCTCTCCCCTTCTATTTATAGCAACAAACTCTTTCCCGAGCATAGTTTCAGGGGGCAGTTCTGTTGGTCTGCAGTAGAAGAACTATAGTAGGGAACGAAAAGATTTGGGAGGTGTAAGCTTTTGACAGCCAAAGCTCCCTTCTGGTATCTGACACAGGGAGCTTTGAATCGCGAAAGCTTATCCCCCCCCCCCAAATCTTTTTGGTCTCTAAGGTACCACTGGGCTCAAATCTAGTTTCCCAGGTAGAGACATCTCTCTATTTCACATTCCCTTCAGAAGCCCACAGGTCACCAGACTCAGCCCCTGCAGCTTCTGATACAGTCTTTTCAGCCTGAGAAAGAAGCAGAGTCACAACAGTTCCCAGGCTATGAAAGCATTATGAAAAGGGGTTCTCAGAGCCATTTTACACATTACACAAAGAACTGGGAGAGTTATTTAAGTTGTACCACTTCAGACTACGCAGGAGTGTGCGTGTGTCATTGTTTTGATGCTCCATCACACATACAAAAAAGTCTGCAAGTAGCATAATCTAACCCAGACTTTTCTCCTGATAGTTTACTATTTGGAAGGATTTTATGTGTAGCATTTCTTTTCTCCCGGCAATCTTAAGTGATGAGTGCAAGATGTTACCTGTGTACTACACATTACTAGGGCTGATCCCTGATACTGTGCTGCTCCTTTGCTGCGTGTGCGAGTGAATGGCAGCCACGCTGTCTCCTCTGAATGCAAAAGCACCTGGCCTCTTAGGTTCAAAGAGAGAAGGCTGTTGTGATGTTATGTAAGTGATGCTAACCGGATAATGAAGTAATGGATAGAAGATGAAGTAGGAGATCCAGTTAAGAGTTACATAAAGTATAAACTTTATTTCTGGTGGGGGGAAATCATTGGTTTAACACTACTTATACTTCAGTATTTACATTTTAGCAAATCTCCTTTTTCCAGTTCAAACAGTCTTAAGCACCTGCATGCCACCCAGTACTCGATTCATCTGCAGTGTTTTCAGAAAGAATCGGTCCATTCACAGTTTCAGCATTTTTAGCAAGCCATACATACACAGAAAAAAGGAGGCCAGAAATTTTCAGAGAAAATAAAGCCAATTTGGACCCTGAACGGAAACTGACTAGAGTGTTCCCATATAACGTGAAACTATTTTTTGGAAAAGGAAAAAAAAAAAGAGGGCAGCTTCACAACTTCTTGAATACTGTATAGTGATCGTCATCGCACTTGTACCTCAAAGGGTTTGGTTTGGTTGCCACAACGCAAGAAGATACTCCATGAGAAAGGCTGGACGTCCCCTGCTGAGGTCAGTGAGGCAGTGAGCGAAACACCTTTATGGCAAGCAGCCACGTCAATAACCCTAAGGGGGATGTAGCTTTTGAGCTATGGAAAACTTAGGCCAGAGCCAGACACATTTTTTTTAAGAGAGTTGAAGGATTATCTAAAATGAAGGACCGGTGTTCGTAGGCCATTTGTGCCTTTGTTGGGCCATTTCAAAAACTTAAGACCTGCTTAAGCAGCCAGGAGGATGAAAACACAGGGGGAACCTGGCTTCCTTCAAACCACTTTCAACTCTCTGGAATCTATGAGGTCCCACCCGAGGGGCCAGAATCCAGATAAAGACTGAATTTAACCCCCGTCCCCTCATTTATATACATGCTGTTGTGCAGAAATGGTCCTACGGGTCTTCCATTTTCCCCACTGTGGAAACCAGCAAGTCCTATAACATGATGTGTGTGTGTATGCTTGGTCCAATGAGCTAAATTATAACCAGATGGGATCACTTCTGCAAAACAGCACGGGGAGGGGGTTTCGATTTGAACTGAGATCGAGCACCACTTCTTTATAAAAGGAGGGAAATTGTTAGGGGCTTCATACACTGAACTGTCACCTCTTTTCAACCCTAGAATGATAGCCACAGTTATTCAGAGTTGTGAAAATGGAACCACACAAGGAAGATAGCCCTGTTGTCAAGGGCTAGTAGAAACCAGTTTAAGAAGCGCTGCATTCTCATAAATTTGGTGGGTTACACTATCTTAACACCACCTTCCATTTTCAAAAGCAAGGTCAAGTGTAGAATGTACCAAATTTAGTAAAAAAAAAAAAAAAAGGGCAAAATAGGTTACAGCAGCTCTGAAGTGTGATATAAACATGGTTGGAAAATTACTCTTCCTAATCGCGCACGCTGGTAAAGTGTACAACAAAAACTATTTCAGTGGTGAAAATCCTGTGGGTAGCAGAAGAAAGTTTCGCTGAGACTCCAGAAGCTGAACACTTTCCCGCACTGAAAATAAAATTACAGAAAGGGTTTTTTTTTTTAAAAAAAAAAACCAATAAAGAGCTTAAGCAATATCAGGATTTAGTTTTCAAGCAAGTGCAAGAAGACAGAAAGCTCTGGCTTACCGGCTGCTACAACCCGGGGATCCTCATGAGCATAATGCCTCCCAGCTGCCCGGCTATCTGGGTTCTCATTCCACCAAAGCACGTGAACTACGAAGTCAGAGAACTGCAGTTAAATAAGGCAACTTAATTAAACAGCCAGCAAATCTTCGTCTGGAAATCCGTTCCTTAAGAAAAAGCATCATTCGCCAAAGTGCTGTGTCGAACAGGCTTCTTTTACTTATTTATTTAAACGGTTTCCATGCCAACGCTCCACTCAGGGTTCCCAAGGCGGTGAATATTTCTAACGTTAAAAGCAGTGTTTGACAGACAAATATATAAAATATTCAAAACAAATTAAACATTTACTCTCCTGGGTCTGGAGTAGGTTTCTTTAGGAGTGGATGTGACAATGCCCTTTTCAAGGCAGGGGCAACCTCCCCTCTCTCTTTTAGAAGACTCTGCCTATCCACTGCACTCAGCTGCTGTGACATACATGACCCATCTATCCTGTCTGAGGGCTGCTACACTAAACATCCCTGGTGTACCAGACGGGGAGACAAGCATCTCTTCACACAGGGGGTGCGTTCAGACGGGGCATTTACAACGGTATAGGTGCCTGTTGGAATCGGTGTACTTACCAGCGTTCACACGTAGAACATCTGCCTTCCATCCCTAACCGTTGCAAAGAGTTTTAAACCGGTGTATTTGGCTACTAGGTCCATAAGTGGTGGTATCCTGAGTGCACTGGTTGTAACCGCTTTACCCCCCGTCTGATCGCTCTCCACCGCTGTAGAGTCACTTTCGTTCGGAAGCCCGAGGCTTCCACTTTTTGCCTGCCATTTTTTTTGTTAGATATGCCCTTGGGCAAAGCTTCGCCCCGGCGTTTGTTTAAAAAAAGGGGGGGTCCTTAGTTTAAGGTTTTACCGTGGTCTTGTTTGTTGTAATATATCCACTGCACTCAGCTGCTGTGACATACATGACCCATCTATCCTATCTGAGGGCCGCTACACTAAACATCCCTGGTGTACCAGAAGGGGAGACAAGCATCTCTTCACACAGGGAGTGACAGCCAGCAGCTGCTGTCTGACTCGCGTCTTTTGTTTGTTTCCAGGTGTCTTCCTTGCACACATTAACTCTTGCAAACCAATCTAAAGCGCCAACTCAGTTCTGAGGAATAAGGCTTGCATACACACACTGCCACAACAGAACGTAACTGAGTAAGGGTGCGTTCAGACGCGCCGTTTGATCTGGTGTCGTGCCAGTTCAGAAACGGATTTTATATCCACGCTCACACACCCAACATCTGCGCACCGTCCCCAGCCGTCGCTTTCCGGCTCAAACCCCCTTTACACTGGAGTATTTTGTTACCAGGTCCCCAAGTGGTGTTTTCCTGATTCTCCGGTTCCAGCCGCACTTTTCTGACATCTGATCGCGCCTGCGGTGTTGAGCCACTTCCGGTTTAAACCCCCTCCCCGCTCAAAAGCTGCCCGAGGCTTCTGCTTTTCGCCCGTCACTTTTAAAAAAGCGTTGGCTTTTCATTTTAAAAGAGGTCCGCCACCGCGTTATTATAAACAATGTTTAAACGGTGCCTAGTTTTAGCGTTTAGATGAGTTTGGAATCTCATGGAGGCCATTTTCAGGGTAAACGTTTAAAGGGAAGTGTTCCTCTAAAGTTTGAAGGGAAGTGTTACAGCAGTCGGGCTGAAGAGGAAATCGCTGTTCTGCGCACGTGTGAAAATTTTAGTTCTAAAAATGGCCGCCTGTGCGCATGCCCAAACTGAGAGAGAAAAAACAACAACACCGACGCACGCTCCCAAGTGTGGACAGCGGGGAGCGATGTTGCTGCACAGCGATCCGGAACAAGGAGGCGAGTGTGATCGCGATTCTCCAGGTTAAAAAAAACAACGCATGGGGCCGGAGCAATATAAACCACTCCCAGCACGCCGTCTGACCGCACCCTAAGTGTCCACATGCAATTCAGATCTTGACAACAACTCCTTTCCCTAACCTGCAGTATGAAGCATATGTAACAGCAATGCATTATTTTATTTCTGTTGCCATCCAACTACAGTGTATCCTATTCAAGCTTCCATTTTACAAAGTTGAGACCTGTCAGTGATCGATTTCAGGGCCAGGTACAAGAGAGTCTAGCAAGTGCATATTCCAGTATTGGTTCTCTTTCAGGGAAATGAGCAGGACTTAACAGAGATAATTCGGTCTGGCCTTCAGGGAAACCACAGATTCAAATTCCATGTCAGCTACATTGTCCCCTGGCAAATCCCATCATGTGGTAAGGAACAATAGCCACGTTTGGCCATTCTGAAGAGAGGCAGACAAAACTGACCTACAGGGCACAATCCACCAAGACACGAGTCCTGCTGAGAGAAACAGTAACTGCCAAATAGCCCTCCAGGGGCCAGAGGCACCAGCTGCATTTGGAAATGAACACGATCGTACCTCTATTAAGTAGTCCGTATTCTGTATGGAAGACTCCAATCAGCTTCGTGTAGCCAGTCTTTATATGAGCGCTAATTGCCGCTTTGAAGGACTGCCCCCACACGGCCGGCCCACCAGGCTTCATCTGGAAAGTAACCAATTCGTAGACGCCTAGAGAGTGTCAGGGGAAACATCACAATTCGCTGGTTCAGGATTAATAGCAGCCCTTCAACCGAACCTCATTGGCTCTGTATTTATACCCCGCGGGGAGGGCGGGGTATAAACTGAATATAAATAAATATATTTTGCGACTGGACACAAACGTGCGGAAAGTACAGGGTTTGATTCTAATCAGAGAATCCAGCGCTGTGTATTTCAGCCTTCATTTTTTTGAAAACAAAGCTTCAGGTTTCTAGTCCTTGTGGCTACGAGAACAGCACAGAAACTGTATGGACAATTCTGCCTAAGGCAAAAGGTGCTCAGTAGTATGTCAGTGGTCATGGCATGGCGTAAAACCCCTTGCTCACCTCATGACCCAGTAGAATTAAACAAATGAAGAAACATGCTCATTTTGTTAATCTACACAGGTTATATAATCCAGTTTCTTTTGGAGCCAGTTTGTGGGTGTGGGTGTGCATAGCACACAGAACTTCAGTGCAATTAGGGTCACTCAGGGTGGGGCCTGGATTTGTCCCAGAATTCCAGTTGATCTCCAGACTACAGAGATCAGTTCCCCTGCAGAAAATGGCAGCCTTGTAGGATGGACTCTGTGGCATCCACTGAGCTCCCCCCCCTCCCCAAACTCCCCCGTCCTTAGGTACCGCACCCTCAGTCTTCAGGAATTTTCCAGGCTGGAGCTGGCAATCCTAAATGCAATTAAACAAGAACGCATAATATAGAAACAAAGAAAACTGTGCAGATAAGTCACCAGGAACAGGGACAATTTTAGAGCAGCAATTTCAAACTTTGGAGAAACCTTTACGCATTGGCTTGTCCACTAAGGAACGCCTGCGTGTTTGGAACTGATCCTCCGTAGAATGCAGAGAATTCTGGCCCATGTTCCAGTGTGTACGTTCAGTTCAAGCACAGTTCTTCCAAGGTCCCTCTGTATTAATGGAGAACTTGCATCTTGGAATACACCCAAGGGGCCCCTGCAGTTTCATAATGGAGGATTAATATTGGTGAACCAAGCTTGTACCCCATTAGAGATATTTTCATGGAGAAATTCCTGGTAAGGTTCTGAACAGCTTTCAGGTTTTTAAAAAACCAAAGTCCTTAGAGCTGCAAAGACAGAATCATCTGAGAACAATTATATTACCATGTTTACCTCTGGAAAATAAAAAGTCTAGCCTACGCAGCTAAAATGTCAGTGTAGCCACTGGCCCAATTAAGGGCTGAAAATCAGTCCATTTAGTAGCATTCACAGGTGGGAATTGAAGTACTACCAAATAAATGGAACTCACCATCCTTTGGAGGGCTGCCAAGTTCACACCAGGGTACCAGGTAAGCAATTTCATTATCTTGTTTATCTAACAAGGGCAGCATTTGGGACATGTATTTTCCCTGCCATTCTTGGTCCTTGGCTAATGCTGCCCGGACAGCAGCTCTCTGTGCAAAGTTGTCTGGAAACAGAGGAAAGGCGTGGTGGATTACTTCAGGCAGGTGACCAATGCTCTTTCATTTGGACTCTATTCAGACGTCTGCTTGTGATGTGCACAAAAACAGATGTACGGGTCAAGCTCATACACATATTCCCTCCCATGTGCTCGGTGCACAACTGAAGACTTCCATCTAATGCCCGTTGGTCATATTATCCAAATGCATGTGGGTGAACAAACTGAAGTTGTATTTCTTCCCTACGAGCCAGTATTAAAGCATGCTTTGAAATCCCAGATACTGGGGAAGAAAGAACCTCCCAGTGATGCTTTGGTCAAACTGGGATCAGAAGCACGATACCTACAGAAGGACCAAGCACAAGTCCAAAGGTGGAATCAGCTGCCTAGGGAGGTAGTTTACACCATTCCTCTCTCTTCCATTTTATCCTCAGAACAGCCCTCTGATGTGTTAGGCTGAACCTTTGTGACTGGCCCAAGGTCCCCTGTCACGTAACAGGCCTGTTGGCTTGTGAGTGTTTGCATTGATAAGGCAGCAGTAAGTTGTAGCAGAACCACCGCATGAAAAAGGGTCACTTTTGACAGCAAACACCTGTTGCCTATAATCAGTAGTAACATTCCATACAGCTGTGAACTGTCAACTTTAATTGTGACTTGCCAAGATCTTGACAGTTCGTGATCTAGAGTCACCACGTGCTGGGTAGCAATTACCTCTAATTGTTTGACACCTGAGCTACTGTTTAAGGGGAATAACTCAGACTAAGACAGCCAGCCAGGAAGGACAGGTGTAAGGCTGAAAGCTGCGTCAGATATTGATGCATCAGCTCAAGTTATGCTGGAAGAAGGCCGGGACTTATGCAAGAGGACTCCACCACCCTT